TTGCGATCTTGTATGCTTGAGCACTTCGAAGACATGCCGATTCTCAACATGATCTTTGGACGATCCAACACCACGGCTCCTTTGCCGAAGCCGCTGGTGAAGAGACGGGCATCTCCGTTGAAGGAATCCCCTGCTCGTGATGAGGAAGATGAGACATCCGACTGCCCCATGGAGCAGGTCGCCGATGAGAATCCATCCGCCTCTCAACAACCAGAGAATGTCAACATGGAGCAGGTTGATTACGACCCAGATTCCGACAACGACGATGATTCCGATGAGGAAGAGCAACCTCCCGCAGGAAGGCCGACGTCGAAGGCGATGCCACATCCAAAACTGGTTCCAAAGTCACCACCACCGACATTGAGGCTTGTGTCAAAGGTCAAGCCAGCACCGAAGAACATCCTGGAAGAGGAGACGGAATCCGACAATCATCCTGGTGACCGACCTGCGCTTCCAAGGCGACCAGCGATGCGGCCAACTCTCACATCCAACGATCGGTGGTATGTGCCAAATGGATCAGATACCGACATCAGCCTCCAGAGGGAATCCGTACACCCAGGACCTTTCGGGAATTCTAAATTCCTCAATTTCGTGTACGAATACTACAAGGAGTGCTCAACCATCCTCGAAATGAATCCGGATTTCCACTTCATTCCTGAGCATGAACGACCGCCTGGAGGCAAGGTATTCTGGCTGAAGGCCAGATTCAATGACTATTGGCGGCCAACGCTTCAAGGTGAAGGCCCTCACGCAGAGAAACAATACATGGACTTCATCAAGAAGGTCTACAGCATTTGCTGCTACACCAATGCTCAGCCAGAAGTTTACGGAACCGACATCATCCCGATGGTATGTCACAACAGCTACATTGATCTCGAGAAGACCGTCCAGAATGTTGAACAGGTTTGCAAGTACTTCAACATGGATCCATCCAAGGCAAAACAGATCACCGACCTCATCCTCTGGCGAATCGAGAGAATGAGCAGATTGTTTTCCGGATGTCTTCGACATGATCCAAGGCATGGCACCCATAAAGAATGCAAACGACAAGTGGACATGGGTTCTGATGGATCCGTTGAGCTCTACGATGCATTGACCTGCATTATCATACAAGGAGCGCAAGGCAAGGGGAGAAATTGTTCCAAGAAATCGATGGATCGACAAACTCACCACGAGATCCGCATACGATGCACTCCGGCCTAATGGCAAGGAATTCCTCAATGATCCCGACATGGAGTTCTACGTGAGATGCAACAGCGGTCATACACGACAAGTCGATCTCCAATCTTTTGGACGACCCCTGTACTCCGAGCAGCAGAGTGAGCCTCGCCAAGAAGAACCGGACTATGACCTTCCAACGGAATCCAGTCCTCCAAGTCCGCATCCGTCAAGATCAGATGCGCCCCATGAAGACGAAGGCACAGCTCAGGCAAAATACAGAGTGCGAAGGCCGGCGCCACCATCCATTGAAGAAGAAAGAAAGATCAAGCCGTTCGCCAAGAAGCCCATCACTTTCATGTTCCATGCAACCTATGGAAATCAACTCATCAACATCATTGAAAACGGGCTCAGGTCTGGGAAATCCCAGTCAAACCCTTCGGGGAGAATGCACGTCCACATGGCATGCATCGACGACGTTATCCTCGACGATGACGAGTCAGAAGCAGCACTCACACATGTGCCAGCAGGAAGAGATGCACTGTTGATCCTTGCATTCCTCAAGGACCAGGACTATGGCATCCGACTCTCCGAAGAGCGAACAGCGCTGACAGAACAATCCATCGAGGCGAAGAATATTGTTGCAGCATATGAACCTGATGGTAGCACCATGATGAGCAACAACTGGATCATGAAGAAGCTTCTCAGTCGTGAAGATGTTGAGATGTACGACACCAAGATCCGTGAATTCGCCGATGCTTTCTTCAGCCATGTAAATTCCGATAAGCGCAGCAAGGAAAAAGATACTTCCTCAGAGACCAAGAAGCGACGGCGCTCCACCGATCAAGACGAAGTTGAAGAGGAGAACAGGGAACCCTCCGGGGAGAGATCCGTCAAACCAAAGGTCACCATGGAGTATCGCAATTCCAACAACTTAGACGAGTTCATCCAGGAACTCAAGGAAACCTACCTCGAAATAGACATGAGCAAGAAGGACGCCGAGGAAGAGCTCGTGGAAACCAAAAAGAACTTCCTCCGCTTCATGGAGAAGTACAACAAGGATCCAAGGAGCATTGGCACACGTCGATCCTGATGTCAATCTCGGAGAAGAAGAGTTCTACTTCCGACATCGAGGAGAATGTCCCACCATGGACGAGTACAGGAATGCACAGCCAATATCCGGATATCCTATTAAGCTTCCACTTGGATTGAAGAAGCTTAGGTCACATGACGACCCGGAAATCATCCGAGCATTTGCCGCTATCCTGGATCGCTGATGCAGCCGACCGACCGTGCCCCTGTGGACCATCTCAAGACGCATGAGTTCACCTCATCCCTGACGATCAACATGCTTACTATGAACCATGGAAACCTCACGAGGAATCCAAAGCTAGACGGCAGGGAGACATGGCGATGAAGGACCGACCAATCGTGAAGATGATGATGCAGAACAGCGCACACGTCTTATGCCTCAATGAAGCAGTCGCATTCCTCAGTCCTCAAGATGATAAATCCAGAGAACTCATCAAGACGTTCATCCGATTCGGGTACAAGGGCATCGTTATCAAGCAATGGTCATCCAGACCAATTGCATGCTTTGTCCGCGGCGGACCTTCCGCAAGAGTGGAACTATTGGCAAGACACATTTCCACAAAGAGTCAGAATTGGGGAACCACATTCGGGATGTTCAGATGTTTCTTTGGAACCGAGGAAAATTGCACTGATCTTGAATACGACATTCCGACCTCGGACTGTTTGGCAACTACGGGACCATCCATGTTTACTGAGTCCAAGAAGTACATCGGACCGAGATTGCCAACACGCACCACTGTCCAAGGACACGGACGTAACAAAGAGATTGTCGTTTTCCACATCGAGCAGAGTGATGAGTGTCGTGGTATGCTCCCAAAATCTTCCAACAAATCACTCCTCGAGTTTGACAGCCGCCACGTAACGAGGGCAGACCTCCCGTTTGCTACCATTGGAGTTTTCCACATTCATCCCTCCATCAGCCATGAAGATTTTCAGAACGAAACCCTGCCACTCGTGGCCTTGCACCAATGTGACGCGATCACTGGAGACGCCAACAAATCCGCGAATACCTACAGCAGACTCCAGCACGTCTTCAATCCGGCCAATGGTCCCATGAATATCCTCACGAAGGCATATCAGAGATTGTGGAATGAGACGGAGAATCTGCAACTCGTGGACAGAATGGAGTATGCAATGGAGACTTCATGCACCATAAAATCCATTGTTCGTCATCACTTATACATGAAGACTGGATCAGGGTATGACCGAACATTCCCAGATGTGATGATGACATTCGTGTTTGGATGGGGCAAAACGAATATCCAGCAGGTTTTCCGGAAGGAAGAGATGAACGCCATGAGAGATGAACAACTGGAAGGTATGCGGAACGATCCAACGTCTGCCATTTTCGACTATCAGGTCTCATCCGCGGAAGCTTCAAGCACGTGAACAACGATATGTTCGAAGGACTATGGCGACTCAACCTGGAATGTTTATGGAGACTATGGCAGTCAATCCGACAGCAGCCGTCGGTGGTACCGCTGATCACTTGATGAAGCAGCCACCTTTGGCACTCATTCGACCGACCGAGAAGACTCGCACGATCAGCGCTACGAACTACAACCAGATTGATCCTCACCGCCAACAAGACTATTCAGTGAGAGATCAATAGTTTCACATTCGTCCCGCATGTACGTAGCGTTGTGCATCACCTTTCGATACATCTAGGTATCTCACAGAATCAGTACAGACTGTTTTCCATTTTGCTCACATGACAAATCATCCGCGCCAAAATTGGATGAATCATTGTAACAATACATGGCTACGGCCGACACTTTCAAGTATGGCTACGGCACGTAAGGCCAAGAAGCCAATCATACACTTTCGGTGTGAAAGGTCAAAAGAAATTTGTGTTTGTTTTGTGTTGCTTTTGGTTACACCCATTGACCTTTGCACACACTCCGCTAATATGTTTGGCTCAAGGCCCTTCACGTCATGTGTACAGTCATTCGACGCATGGTACAGTGATAAAAAGGCTTGCAGACCGCTTCACAGGTTTCACAGTCAACACAAGCTACCAGGGACAATCCATCCTCCAATCCTCCATATTTGCATATTGGACTCTCTCCGGAATAGATCCAGGGACCAAATCAACGACCTCTACTACCACAGGGAACCAGTTCCCTTCTGGGATCAGTGGGCCTCACCCCCCCCCCCCCCCGGCCCCTCCCGGCAAACCTTGAACGTCAAGCGCCTGCGAGGTTGTGTTCTGTAAGCCAGAGCCATGCATCGTAGCTCCAAGTCTACTGCGTCGTGGTTGGTTTTCGTCGAGCTTCCCACAAAAGGCTGGTGGTGGTTCCCTTTAAGTCGAGCTAAACAAGTCCTGGCAAGAGAACCGGCGGAAACCCCACCCAGCCTGACCAAGCTTGATTGGCGAGCCAACAGAAGGGAACGCCGGTCTGCCTTAAAACAGGGAAGCTGTGTTTGGCGGGAAATTGAAGGAAAGTCACCATCCAGTGCCACTTGCTCCAGTTTGGCGATGCGCTCTGGCGATTCATTTGATTTCCCTCTTCCAGGAAGTTTTTTTCCCCACCCCCTTTAGCACCCAGACTCCCTAAGCACCAACAACATTAGAGGCCCTTGCCGCGGATCCAAGTGACCGTCGCTGGGATCAAGTCCATGTCCAATTTTAGCTTGGATGGTAGTATAGCTTGTAAATCTCCATTGATTTCAGTTTTAGTTCTTTTTAGTTCTTCAGTTTTTTCCGTTCGCGGTTTTTCAGCTGGGTTCTGCATGAGATTTGTTTGCAGGAGGGCCTGCAGAGGCTGGACAAGAAGCCATCAGGCAGGGTGCTTTTCCCCACTTGGAACGATGTCTCCATCTTTTGTTTCTTCCCCAACAGCTGAAAGCTTTGGAGTCTCGGTCCAGATAGGCTCCGGGGTGGTCTGGGGTGGTCCGGGCGGCCCTGAGGTAAGGTTCCACGAGGGTTCCGCCAGGTTCTGTGAGGTTCCAGGGTCCACCAGGGTCGGGGTGAGGTTTCATGAGGGTTCCACCGGTTCCACCCACCAGAGTCCACCACATTCTGCGAGGGCTGGGTGGCCCTAAGGTCAGGTTCTACAAGCTTCCACAGAATTTCAACGGAGTGCCACAAGGATTCAGAAGGGTACACATGTTGTGCAAGTTGCCCTGGAGGGAAACAATGTCGCCGGCTTAAAAGCCATCGGCAGTACATTGCGGGCTCAGAAGATCGCTTTGCTCATGGGCGGAACACTAAGCAAAACCAAAATCATTTGTTTTCTGCACATTTCACTGTTTTGACTTGCTCACTTGCTCAGACAACGCGGCCCGAAATGTTGGCTTTGTGGCAAATCAGATCACGTTGCTGCGGGACTCACTGTGCAGCAGAGTAAATGCTTGGCATTACTGAGTATTACTTGGTGGGCTTTGGGTTTCAAGGGTTCCACGAGGCTGCAAGGGCTATGGGGTAAGGTTCCGAAAACGCTCCACGAGGCTTCCGCCACCTGCGGAAAGGTTCCAACAACGTTTCACGCTAGCTCCACCAGCGAGGCTCACCGCGCCTAGGTCGGGGCCCGATTGCACCGTCGGGCCCGGATTGCACCATCGGGGCCCAATTGCACCGTTGGGCCACCGTCGGTCCTGATCGGGCCCCAATTGCGTTGTCGGTGCGCTAGAAACCGGCATCCTCAGCAAAACCGGCGCTGAGGTGGGTCCCGGGGCGCGTATTGTGGGAGATCTGTTGCTGTTGGGGATATCGCCTGAGCTTTTTTTTTTTTTCTCTTTGGACCATGGTCGTTGGTAGTTTGAAGCTTTTGTTTCTCTTGGGGCCAGGGGTTGGAAGTTTGAACCTACTGTGGATAGACATCAGCCAGTTCGCACCAGGCATGAAGCCCTATGAGCATCGGTTGATTCTGCCGCCTGGCCTTTGAGCATTTCGCGGTGAGTTTCTCGCATCTCGCGTCTCTCTTCGGCTTCCCGAGCCGAGGGCCGAGGACAAAATTTTCGCCACCAGCGGCAGGCCCGGAGTTCCAGGCCTTTGTCTTCTCCGACCACAAGGGCGGCCCGGCGCCCGGGTGAGGGTTGTTCGATATCAACAGGACAGCAGAAGACGCAAGTTTCGCATTCGTTCATTTGGCACTGGCGCGATTTGGATCGGAACGCACGGGCTTCTATTAGGGAAAGGTATCTTGGGCACATTGGGCCACCCCGATCCACATGCTCTGGTCTCGCCCTGAGGCCGCCGATTCGTGGCGTGTCTCATCGTGCATGAGCGCACGGTGACTTCAGAAGGAGCCCTGGAGTTGCTCAAGCAACAGGGGCCCCCATGTCTTGGCTTCAAGCCATACGTGCATTAGACTTTGAGATTTCGGGACTTCACAAGAAAAATATGCCATTTCGCTCCAGTTACGCTTAGCTTCCAGCAACAAGAGAGTCAAATCCGGCCACCAAGTTGTGAGAAGGACACCATCCTTGGTGGCACTTGAGCCCGAGGAAGGGAAGCCCGAAGCAGAGCTTTTTCCCCGGTGTGTTCTTGTTTTGACCCCGGGAGAGCAATCGGAAATTCCCGGGGTCATGGACACCTAGTGGGTGTATTTTGCAACCAGGACCCTAAAAAACCACTACCCCAAAAGAAGGAGGCTGCAAACTAGACGCCAAGCTCCACCACACGACCCCCCCCCTCCCTCAGCTTCAGGCGCCTCTGCAGGCACAAGTGTCCGTGTAAAAGCTGCCCTTTTGGCCACCGGAGCCACGGCATTTGGCCACTTGTGACTTTTCTGATGGGATACGGAAACACCCCCGAAGGGTGGGAAGCACGGGCACTGGGATTCGGAGAAGGGTACACATACTTTACCCTCCCAATCATCAACATAAAACCCGAAGAACCCTCAAGCATTGAAATCATTTTCTTGGGGACGCCCTTTTTGGATTTCAGGGAGTCATCGGCCAGACATGGAATCCCAATTGTGGCCCACCCATATTCCAGGAATCGTGCCCTGTGTGCTAACTGCCCCCAATGCCTGGGTATGAGTGTATGTGGGGTGGGGGACTCCCTCCCAAGGTGGCGTTCCTTGGTTTTCATTTTTAAGCAACCAAAGGGTGCCCTAGCCGTGTCCGGACAGGACAGCTGTACACGCCCAAGGCGCTTTCGGGAGCGAAGCAGCCGAGCGCCGGTGCTTTGGGAGCGAAGCCGAGCGGGACCCAAAACCAATCAAGGGATTTATTGGAACGGATTTCAAGAAACGAGTTCCGAGAACTTGCGCCAAACAATCATGTGTTTTTTCTCGTTTTTTCCCCACATTCCAAAGGAGCGGACTTGGTTAGAAGCCATTTGACAGAACCCATGTTTAGGGTTACCCAAGCCAACTTAACTGGTGCTGATGCTTGGAATGTTTATGCTGGAACGGGGCCGGCAAGCAAAGCTGGCGCAGCGACTGGGCGTCGTGGGTGCAAGTCCTGTGTGCCCACGGACGTTTTGCGACTCCGTGGGGTTACAGAGACTTCAATGGTATAGAGAGCACAGACGAGTTGGCGGAGGTCGGCGGCCAATGCGTCTAATTGCAACGGCGCAATCTCCGTGGGATGTTGCAAATCGACTTTTGGAACGCCAGAGTACTTTTCCGGCAACACAAGCAGATTTTGAATAAGTTTTGGCTCAATGTTGTGTGTAACGAGAGCTCCTTTTGGTTTCCATTTAAGCCGACCTAAAAAGGGTACCCTCAATAAACACTTCCCGAAATGATGCACCCTTGTGGTTGGTGAATAAATGGACATCAACAGGAAGCCACCCGATCCATTTTTGAACAACACTCATTTAGCCACTTGTCCAGCCTTGCTTTCTTCGGTGCTGTTTGGCGCGTGGCAAGGAGGGAGCCATTGTGTGACTGTTTGTGGATTTCAAGCTGTCCGCGGAGGCTTCGTTTCTCGAGCCAAAGAAGAAATGAAAGGAACCACGGATGTGCGTTTTGGTGAGGTTGCCGCTTGTGCTCAAAGCTCAAGCTGCCGTTGTTGTGCGGAGAGGCTGTGGAGGCTTAGGCTCCCCCATAGCCCTTGGGAGGTCCATGACTTTGGGCCCAGTGACACACGGCACTCATCGGGCCGCTTTGCTACGGGGGCCGGGGTAGCACCCAGATATCTGGGGAAAACCCAGAAGCAGGGTTGGGCAACATATGTTTGAGCCAGGCGGTGTTTTTTCCTTTTCTTTTTAATGGAAAAGCAAACACCAAATGCTTGCGCTGTTCAAAGGGAAGCCAACGGGAGCTCGTGCAAACGGTGGCTTCACGCAAGAGGTTGGCCCTACCCCCACTGTGCCCCTCTAACGACTCGCTCGGGAGATATGCTGTTGGTACACCTATAGCATAGACCTTGCCAAGTCTTCACTTGGCCTTTTCGAGCAGACGGGGATCATGATATGTCTTGGGGTCTCTTTCCAAATGGTTCAACTTGCGATCGGATCAGATCTGAGCCGATGCCATTGAGTCCCTTCTGCAAGGTTTGGACAAGCGAAGGCTTTTGCCACAGAAAGAGCATATGTGGCCATGGGTCATAACCTATGCTGCCATTTCGGGGCGGATGAATACTCATGTACCACCTATTTTTATGTTCACCAGGGGTACAGGGTTTTGACCCACAGAGTGAATCTAATATGTAGAATGAGGATGTTTTGCACGCCATTTGCCGCAGCTCGCTCCCGATTCGAGCTCCGATTTCCGATCTCGGCCAGGCGTTGTGCTTAGTTTCACTTTACCCCTGCCTGGAGCTCTTCCGCAGCCTGCCCGGGGCCCGGAGCTCTCGGGCTCCCGGAGCTCCCGGAGCTCGCTTCGACGAGTTTTCCGCGCTGGGGCGGGGGCGGGCTGAGCACGGCGAGGTTTGGAGTCCCTCCAGACACTCGGAGGGCAAAGGCTTGGCGCGGCAAAAGTTTTTGGTGTGTAAAAAACCCTCTAGCCCAAACCCGGGGTTGGTTTAATAGCCGACTTAGATCTTGCCTTTGTATTGGTTTTGCCTCTTTGGTGTTACGTTCATGGTTGTTTTCAACCAGCATAAAGCCAAGTTGTTGCAGGACGTCTATCTCTGGCCCACTTCGGCATGCTTTTTACCCTGCTCACAATTACTCTCACACCTCACAGAAAGTCGCTGAAGGAAGGAAATTTGTCCAGCTACACGTGCACAGGTGCTACGTTGTTTTTGTGGGATATAGGCAAGGCCAAGCAATCTGTGATTGCTTTTCGCACATCGTCGGGCATGGATTTCCTACGCCAAGCGCGCGTTTCTGAACTGGAATCCAGAAGGCGCCAGAGGCGAAGTGAAGACCACCAGTGGCAGCTGTTCTTTGGGGCCCAACGACTATTTCGCTTCTTTTTTTCGGCTCTCAGCAACCCATTTGATTTAGCAGCACGGTTTTCCTCGTTAAACAAAAACAACAGGAATGTGCGCTAAGGATCCAAGTAGGATGTGCGCTTTGCAGTTAGGACCCAACGGCCTGGAAGGTCAACATGAGGGCTCCGGGTTAAGGCCCAGGATGCGGTAGGAAGGAAAAGGCCAACCCACCAACCAACCAAGCAGACAGACAGATGGACGGAGAGACGGACAGATGGACGGAGAGACAGACAGACAGGCGAGCAGGCAAACAAACAAACGAACGAACAAAGGAACAAACAAACAAGCAAACCGACAGCATAAAGCAACGCAAAACAAGAGCCGGGAGGAAATGGAACAGCACCTACTTGGAATGCAGATTGGTCCCAGGCTCGCCGACCTGGTGGTGGCTGCACGCTCCGACCGGGAGCTGTCGGTGAAGACAGGCAGACCAGAGAAGACGGGAAGTTCAGTGGCTTAAAAGCTATTGGGTTAGTCACATGGAGAGTTGGGGATTTTGGAGACTGGTTACCCTCTTTCCAACAATAGAAGTGGACAACGGGCTTCCCAAAAAGGAAAGTTTTCCAAAACCCGCACTTGAATGCACAACAAGGATCATATCGCCGGAGGAACGGCGCAACGTTCAACTTCGGCGTGCAGCTGCATGTGTCGTTCAGCATAACGGCGTCACGAGGACCACGCTGCGCAGATTGTACGAAATCAGATGGAGAGGCCTCATAGCCGCATCCCGATTTGAGAGGTCAGATACACCTGACTGCTCTTCGGAGAGCCGGCCCGGAGCGGTGATTTGACACCTTTCCGCTGCAAAGAGAGACAACTCCGGTTCAACCTGAAACTGAATTCAGTGGCTTTCGAGGGGTCCTCGAATTCCGCGCCTGAAGAAGCGCCGACATAGTGGTAGGTTTCCAGCAGGAAGATTCCGCAGGGGTTGACTGGTTGACTAAATGATGGCCCAAAGGGACCCTCGGGGTGCTGCTCCAAACAAGGCAACCCATTTTGACAAGTCTGGAGGGTCGCAAAGGTTGAAACTTGGTCATTTGGTTGCAAGGTATATGTTTACGGCCGCATGAGCTGCCATCACGCATGAAGTTTCCTTATTGATGAAACATTTGGTGCTAAATCCAAGGAACACCTTTGGAGTGTTCCTTTGGACCTGCTCAAAAAAGGGTTCCGATCGGGTTGCAATCTTTTTTCAACCTTGCGGGTTACTGGTTGCAATTGGTCGGTGAGTTATCATCGGGGTATGTGTCCAAAAGGTGGGACTCCCCTAAAATGGCTGCGGTTGTCGTTTCGGTTTGAATGCAAACCAGCCTTAAAAGATGCCGGTGCTGGGGTGGGGTAATGCCCGAGTTTTTTTGGGAAAGAACCGGTTTTGGGGATTTCCTTAAAGGAAGCCACCAGTTGGATGCTTTTTCTCGGGGCTCACTCCATTTCTCATTCCCTGCCTTTCGACTTGCGAACCACCGATCCCGAATCACGCTTCGCCAGGTTCCTTGGAGTTTTCCGAGCGGCTCGTGGCGCGCAGCGCCGGCGGACATTTTTGTTCCCTGTTCTTTTTTTTCTTTGCTTTTTGCTGTTTTGGCCATTTACCCTTCCTCCAACTAACGTGGCACCTGTGAGGAGGTACCTGGAAGATCCATTTCCTTTTGAAGGGAGCTCCTGTCAGTTGCCATGTCAGTTGGAGGGAGGGTAGTTTTGCCTTTTTTGTTGTTTGTTTGTTTCTGTTGGGTAATTTTGCATTTTTTTAGGGTTGGGGGAGGGGAGGTGGGTGTGGAGACCCCTTCTTGGTGTAGAGAGCAAGTCAAAGGGACACGGGGCCGAATTCGTGGGTTCTGTCTTCTATTTGGAGACAGATGATCCATCCAAAGCAGAGGTCCTCGTCCAGGTAGCTATGCCTGCAGCACTGACCCTTTTCAACATTTGGTGTCCCAGAATTGGTCTTCTTCCAATCGATTCGAATGGGTTGTCCAGGTTCCCATCATGGATAGGAAATGTTGATCTTTGTTCATTCATCAAGCCCTTTGGGCAGGTGACGGACAGTTGCAACTATGTTTCACTGCAGATTAGGCGTCTCGCATGAGTATGGAAGCCATTGAGCTGAGTTGTTATGGGGCTTACATGAGTTTGAAAGAGACTAGTTCGATAGGTTTGGCAGCATATTTCAGGGGGTTGATGTCTACTAGGTGTACTGTCAGGGTTGGTTCTTGTTTCCAATATACGCAGGCTTCACCGTTGGCATCAAACAGCACGCATCCATCCTATGAGTCACTGACGCAATTACTGGTAGTCTATGGCGGTTTGCGCACAACCCAAGTGTCCCATGTCCAAGAGGGAACAAGTCATTTTCCTTATGGGTGTGTCTTTCTTTGAGGGTTGATGATGGATCACTTTTCTCGCTTTGTGGGAAGTTAATTTGGTGGGTCATCCCGTGAGGACCTTTTGATGAACCCCCGACATGTCCAAGCAGGGTGATATCACTTTGTTTATCATTTATACCTGGCTGATTCCATCACCGAAAAGGTTATTCTGAACCGACAAAGTTAATTGAGAGGGATTGCCCACTTTCGGAAAGCGCCACTTCCCCACAATAGCGAGCCTGTGCATCAAACCCACATGTCTGTGGGTCAAAACTAGGTACCCCAAAATGGGTTGCCCTGGTAAATGGAACCAAGGACAAAAAGTCCGCGGTCCAATTCCTTGACCTTTAGTTTTGACCACCACACCCACATGAGCCACAATCAAAGCCCAGGTATATAAGTGAAGCTTAGTAAGGGACACTCCCAGCCATAAATAGCTGCGGCCGCCTTCTTAGTTCTTTCCACGGTTCTGGGTCGACCATGTTTGTACCGGGTTTCCATTGTGACCCACACGTTCCAACCGCTCCGGCCGATGGGCCGGCTGGGCCGGGCCGGATCGATCGGCCGGCCATCGATTTTGCTCGTTGGGGTCATCGATGGATGGCTCCACCGCGCCGAGGCCTGGTCTCGCAGATCTTCTTCGAGCTGCCGCTGCCGCCCAGCCGCCACACCATGGTGGGCCTCACCGCAGGTGAGTTGGCGAAGTCGGAGTCGAAGTCGAGCGGAGGGGGAAGACGCGGTGGTTTTGGAGGCTTTTGGGGGGGGGTTTTTGGTTTCTACAAAAAGCACTTCAGGGATGCTTTCGGGAGGAAATCTGCGGATTTCCCATGTACAAAGGGAAGAAGGGATAGTTTCTTTAGAGTGCATGTAGCAAGGTCTTATAGGGTCGGGGGCTTCGAATAGCAATTCTCCTCGTCAGTGTTGTGTTTCATTGCAAATGCCCCTAATTGGGTTATTACCAACATTATGGTGAGTACCAATTACAGTATAGTAAGCTGCATTCACTTAGAATAGATTGCATTTTTCCAAAATTCCAATGTAAAGTATTTGTTGAATCATTCTTTTCTGTATGAAAAAGAGGGATTCTATCTGTTCAAGAGCACCTATTCTATCCTCTGAAAGCATGTAAGTTACAGGGGGTTCTGCATCAAACGAATACAACACAATGAACATGCCAACAATATTTTTTTTTGTCTTGTTAAGGCATTTTTTTGTTTTTTGCTCATTTTGTCAAAATTCATTGACATTTACAGGGAAATGTACTCCAAACAAATCGCATTTGCTCAATAGCAATCATTCCATCCAAAGAATGAACATCTCAAACAATGTTGCCATCAATCTCAGCATGGTTCATTGTGTTTTCCAATGTCTTCTCGCAGTAGTTGGGCGCGGTTCCCATCAAAAATGATGAGGTTCCTCTCAAATTGGAAGGGTTTCCTTTGCAAAATAGGTTGGAGACAAGTGGATGAGAGTCAAAAAACAGATGCACGGGTTGGATGTGGTTCCTCTAGATATGGATGGGGTGCCTGTCAAAGTGGATGGTCCTCCTCTCAAAATGGATGATTCTCCTCTCGAAATGGGCGGGTTCCCTCTGATTTTGGAAAGGCTTCCAGGTTTGCTCTCACGATGGAAGGGTTTCCTCTCAAAATAATTGCTTTTCCCCTAACCCGGGTGAGTTTCATATCACAACATATGCGGATCAGATATTCCAGCTGTTTGCCCGTTGCTACAGACCAAGGGAGCTTCTGCATGTCAGGGAATGATACCCCCAAAGAGCGCACGAAAGCCGGCGGATCGGAACTTCAGATGCGGGGGCCGTGAATCTCACGGTGTGTGGTTTCCCGTTCATTCTCATGGATGGGCTTCGAAAGAAACAATTTTTCGGGAGAGGTTCCCAATGGGGTTCCTCTCCAACTTCAAGGGTGTCCTTGCAAGAATTCGTGGGGTTCCGCTACAAATGGACGGGATTCATATAAGAATGCGTGCAGCTTCAATGATTCTATTTGTTTGAGTGCCACAAGTCGAGGTAATTTATGCATACAGGGAAGTGCAACCCGGGAAGAGTCGACAAATTGCGCTTGTTCTTTGTCACAAGTTTTCCTTGCAGCATCACTCCGCCCTGAACAGAGAGAAGAGTACCTCTGATCTTGGGATCTTGAGTCCTTGGGATCTTGAGTGGGGCACTCTTTGTCTAACGCAGGCGGTGTTCATACATCATGTTGGGTCCGTTTGGGACATGTTGCTAAACGTCCATATTCTAGCTGTTGGTTTCCCCGGTTTAAAAACTTGACCCCGACATAATTTGCGTCGAGCCATTTTATCTGTTTGTAATCATCTTTGCTTATCATTCTAAGTGTACGCAGGTACGATACAGAAACCACGTATTTTGGGGATACAAAGATGCGACCAGAAATCACCCGATGTTTAATCTGCAGCATTGGCGCAAAGTGCCATGGTAAATTCGCATTGGATGAGCGGGATGTTACTCCCCCCCACATGCTGAGGCAGATGTGTCTTGTCTCCAGCAGTCCGAATTGAGCTAATGCTGCTCATGGCAAAGGACCGAAAGGTCTGCCCTGCGTCCCTGCAATGAGCGGTGTGGGTAAGACTGATCGGGTGTCACAAACTGGCATCGGCTACATTGACAGCGACGAGGCGCTGAGCAATGTCTCGAGCTGAGTGAGGAACGTGAAGCATTGCGGGCTCTTTCATTCATGGGGGTTGGCCAGCGTCGGAGCCGATTTGCAGGAAGAGATGAGTTGGGACCGGCCTTGCAGCAGCGTCCTTGAGGAGATTTGACTGTTCAACAAGTGCTTCATGGCAGGCCCCAACAGGTGGTTCTGGGGTTCATGTTTTTGACTGTTTCTGGGGGTTATCCAAGCCTGTCAATTGGGGTGGATGCCCCTCTACCTGCACTTTGGGAGGTGACTTCGATGGTAAAATCAGGACCCCAGGTCGATTGAGCTCGAGTTCCGCAGGAGGAAACTCTAACCCATGTGAGGCTTGGGTAGCACTTAGCACATCAAAAAACAAGCCCAGGTTTCCGTCAGCTTGGGGGTCACACTATATGTCCCATACCCACATAGGTACGGGTCAAAATTCGGGTGTGGTTTTCCTGTATATGTTCCTTTTTGTCAAGGTAAAAAGGGTGAGCGTCAAAACACACCCATTTGGGGTTTCTCAAATCAGGAATCGGTCCCCATATTGCAAGGGTTCCTTTACTTCCTTTTGAAAGACCAACAAAAACCATCCGGAGATTTCTCTCCATTTTCTTCCACTTGGTGTCTGCTTTGGTTATCCTGCCAACAAAAGCCGGAGGTCCCCATTTGGCTCCACTCGTTTGGCGTCCTCCGTGGCCGGACGTGTCCGCAGGCCTCCGCGAGATGACGCTGCTGGAGCCGGAGAGCCTCACGAGGGACTTCTCCTTCCGGCCGCTGGTGGCCTTCCTCTCCTGCAGCAAGCGCCCGGGATGTGATCGGCCTTCGGGAGCCTTCGATGTTCGCTTTTTCTTCGATGTCCCGTTCCCCAAATGGGCATCAGTGACTACCGTTCTTCTTTGGTGGCGATCAGAAGTGTACGTCCTGGGCCCTGTTTTTTTTGGCACCCAAGCGCTTTTTTTGGTCATGATTTCATGTGATTCGCCTACTTGGAAATTCCAAACCTTTTCGATTTGTCGATGTCCTGTCCCCAATCGGCAGGTGTCGGTGGCCACCCAACTTTTTGCTCAACTGTTTTTTTTTGGTGGGAAGGATTCCGATTTCTTTACACAACCAACAAAGGAGGAAGATCCTTTTTGCCCGTGGCCACTGGGCATTTGAGGGCATGTGTCAACGAGGGGATTCCCCAAAATCCGTGGATTCCTTTCCGTTTGCCTAGAAAAACCAACCACAAGAGAGTAAACACTTGCGATCGGTACGAGAGATGCAGGGAATGAGACATGGCATGACCCTAAGAAAAACCATCCATCTTATGGTTTCCTTTCTAAGGGCAGGGTTCATTCCCACATTCCCTACCTATCGCACCAGCAAGTATTTCGAGTGGGTCCGATTTGGTTGCTGGGGGTCTTGGGTTCCTCCAAATGTCTATGTCTATGGGTGCCTCCTAAATTGGTGGTTTGCCTTAGGGTTTTTGGTCTAAAACCACACGAAGCAAGGGTAGCCTCGCAAAAAACACCCATTTGGTTGCTGGCGTTGGGAGTGGGACGGGTTCGTCAAAATGTCTATGTCTATGAGGGTATCATTTTTTAGCCCCCAAAATGGTGGTTGTCCTGTTGGTTCTCCTTAACCACAAAAAGGGTACCCTCCAAACTATGGTTCATTCGGGGCGAGTTTGAATTCAATCCATCAATCCCTGAGTCAAGAGGGTCCCAAGTGGGGGAACGTGTGATTTTGAGCGCTACTGGTGTCTTTTTGTCGGAACCAAAGGGAAGCCCAAAGAAATGCTGCCACTGGTGCTTCTCCTTGGACACATACCCCCAACAAAAACACACATGGGCCACATTTTTTCTTACTTTTCCCAACCCCAGAAAGGAGAGCAGAGCCTCAAAGAAAACAACCCACGTGGGAGTTTATCTTTGTCCCCTGGCAAGCAATTTTTTGTTGCTTGGCAAGGGCCATCTTTTTGCTTTTGCATTTGGACGGCCGTCATGAGTCGGTTGACCGGGACCGACTGCTCCAGATGTTGGTCCTTCTTGAAACTGTCTCCAATGGCCCACACATATTGCGCATATTCCTGGGCGTTTCCTGGAACCAGGAGCACTGTACGGATTTACTATACTTTCAACGGAATTCACCAAAATGGTGGGTTCTTTTTGGTTTCCTTATTCAAAAGAAGACACACCCGTATTTGGATTGGGATTGAGGGTTTCACACCGACCGGGGCCATGTTTGGAGGGCCGTGTTGCCGGAGAGGTGCCCCAAGCCGATTGCTACATGCCCGCTTTCCAGTGCAAGTGGGTGTGCCTTTTTCTGAGGGCATTCTTGCGTGGTTTTTCTAAAACCAAACTGGTGGGGGGGGGGGGGGAGTTGTGTCACTTACTTTTGCCTAACTGTCCTTGGCGACATTCTTCCAGAGCAGGTCGGGCCGGCGGCCTATGTAAACCTGACCATTCAGGTCCCAAACGGCTGGGGTGCAACCGGCGGTTGCTCGTGTGACCAGCTCCATGCCGTCTGCAGGCTGGCGCAACTCTTTGTGCTGGCGCTGTTGGAGCGCAAGGCGCGAGCAAAAGAACTTGCTGGTGAGATACGAGCCCGGGTGTTGGGAATGGACTTCCTGAAAGGAAATAACAAGGGATGGCTAAGAGGGGTCATTCCATTTCTCATTTCCTGCTAAGAACCAGCCGGAGAACGCCCCCCAAAACCAACAACATTGGGGAGGGATGTCAAACGCTGCAAACATCGAGGGTCCCTTGTTTCCCTTCAGCCCCACCGTGTAGAGGGAGATTTAGAGGGTCATACATTTTATAGTGGAGCCACAAAGAAGGCGGTTGCGGCCAAACCACGAAGTTCTGAAACGAAGCCTCTCGGGGACGAAGTGGATTACTCACTTTGCATCCATCGGCGCATCCTGGTGCCGTCGTTTCTTGGTTTCTTGGGTGTCGCACTTTTCTTAAACGGGATACAAAGAAACGGGCCATTTGACAAAGCCCCGATACGAAGATGTTGAAACCGCGATTGCTTCAACCAACTCATTTGAAGTGGTCAGTCCTTTTATTTCATTTCCAGGGGGGTGAAACGCAAACTTACCCCCCACGGTGCAGAAAAATCGTATAGCATGGAAACCCTCTGTAAGGATCCCGCTGCTTCGCACCACAAACGGGCTCCAAATGCACCGCCTGCCCCTTCCCCCCCCTGTGGTGAAGGCAGAAGTGTAGAAGCGGATTCCGCCCGAACCCCGAACCCATCAAAGTGGTTGGTTTGCCCTTTGTTTGGCTTTAAGGTTTCTGCACTACGGACCTGTCTAGTAGTTTTCGTTCTGGCCAACGCTGGGGCTTTGTGGAGGTCTTCCGGCAGGCCGTGGGTGTTTTTTTTGGGTTGTACCCTTTCAGGTACCCCTTAGTTGGTGGTTTTGCTTGGGTTTGGGGATGTGACCTTCTTGTGGAGGGTAAGTGAGGTTCCCACCCCGGGAACACCTCCAAGCCATTTTCGAGGGAAGCTGACCCCTTTAACTTTTGAGGTTGGTTAAGAAGAGAAGCAATCCGCGTTGGGCGCCTGCCAAACCCCGGGAGGTATTTGTGTGAAACAACAAGTGTATGTGCTTTCCAGCCTCCGCACTGACAACAAAAACAACTAAAACATGATCTACGTGTGCCTAGAGTGAAACCTGTTTTTTGGTGGAGACCTAAATTTCCTACGTTTCAGGTGGGTTCCTTGGCTACTGTGCCCCTTAATCTGGCACCCATTGCCGCTCATTTGATTCAGCATCAGTGGATTCCGAGACAGACTGGCTTCTTGTCCATCACTACGCTAAGGCTCCCGATTGTTTTTGGGGTCCTCAACGCATCCCTGTTTTGAATGGTCAGGGTTCTCCATAGGAGTGTCTGGCTTCGGCATCGGAGGGAATACACATGTATGTATGTATGTATATATATATACAAATCTGAGAATTATTTTTTGCTGTGCAGAGTTGGGCTTCAAGGGCGCAAGGCAAGCCAGCTTGTGTTTGTTGCTTCTCGCTTCAAGGTGGTGCTCAACTCCCAGAAGCTGAGTCCGGTGCTGCTGGTGGTGATCATGGAGGTGAGGTGTGCCCCGTTTTGAGGTTATCCATTTTTGTTTGGAGGTTACCCCTGTTGTGAGACCCATCCATTCGGCGAATTTCAAGAGTTGGAGCCACAATGGTTTGTGGACATGAATAGGTGCCCACCAAATTCTGTCCATTTCGGGTCCAGGACCAACTCACATCCCAAAAAGGCCTCGACTAGTCAATGGTCAGGGGACTCTCTCTCTCTCTCTCTCTCTCTTTCTCTCTCTCTCTCACTCTCTCTCTCTCTGATTGTCCTTGTCCTTGACAGTTGGGTGAAAGTAGATGGCGCAATCTTAACAAGTTGAGTCATAGAATTTGCGTAACATCTACTTTCACCTTGTAAATGGGGTTGTCTTTTTGTGTGTTAGCTTCCAAACCAAGGGAAACCAAGCATCTTTTCACACCCTTTGTTTTAAGACAAAGCCAACTCGGATGGGAACCTCAACACTGGGTCCATAGAGAGAAGAGCCATTGCGCTTCAACAAGTCTACCTTTCGGGCACTGAGGAGTCCTCATTTGGAGAGTCTTACTCTAAGCGGAACTTTTTGGGTTTCATGTTAGTGCATATGTTTCAAATGATGCTGTCAAATCCTTCGGATTTGCAAGCGGCGAAATCCACTCGTTGTTAATGTTTCCTGTTGGTTTGCCCGGAGGCCTTGCGTGCGCTGCTCTTCCCCTTCGACTGGGACCGGGGCGCGCAAATGGGATGGGAGAGGCCGATCAGGCTGGATCTGGTGGCTCATGTTTTTTGCAATTTGCAAGGAGTGACTTTTGCCAAGCATGCGCAGTCTGACATTTGGGTACCATGTTCACCAACACATGCGTTGGAATATGTTTGCCCATCAACCTGCAGTGCTCGTTGTTGATGTTGGGTCGACTAAAAGATGACATCTTCAAGATAGCCATTAAACGGTGGTTTAAGGGGAAGTCACCCTCAAAAGCCTGAAATTGTACCCACTTTGAAGGACTGAGTAGGAGCACACCTCGGGTCTCCCCAAAAATCCGGACAACTTTGGCTACGCTACCAGATCTGGACAACAAAAAAACCAACAACAACCTCCTTAGCCATCGGTTTGTAGGAGTACGGCTCCCACCGGACCCTTCGGACTAACCTGCCAATTCCAGCCAAAGAAAGCCAACACATTTGGGGGACCCAAACACACCACCGGATTTGGGAACATCCCGCCAAGGTCCGAAGAGAAGAAACATGCAACAACAACGCAGATATAGGAGGCACCTAACTTGATGAACGCAACACCTTCTTCTTGAAAGGGGTGCAATGACGTCTTACCAAATCCACGAACCGGACATATGAGAATGTAACGTTGACCCTGGATCACTACACCCCTGGTTGATGAATAGGATGTCCCCTTTTAGTGGGAATGCGGATCACTCTGGCGACGCCTTTAAATAAAGGATGGGCTTTATGTACGGTGGATGCCTTAAATATTGCAAGTAGACCAACCACACTCGACCACAAAACCATGAGTAAATTAAGGTAAATCACAGAAACAATTTGTTTCCTTACTTGCAATATGAGTGTGTCCTTTGAAGGGCACCCCAAAAAATGGCTTCGGTTTTCCTTCTGGCTCTCTTTTAACAACCACTAAAAAAGAGGGTACCGAGACTCAACAAAGACGAGCCACCCATATTTCTGGCATCCACCGATCATCTGCAAACACCCATTACCTCGTTCCCTCACTTGCTTGCAACATGTTGCAACATGTTTTTTTTTGTTTGGGGGGCATCCGGAAAAAGAAAGAACAACAAAATGACAAGACAACAAGCAAACAAACAAAACGCCTCGACATCCATCCGATTCGCTTCCCGCTCCAATCGCTGCCCGCTCCAATCGCTCCAATCGCTCCAACCGCTCCCAATCGCTCCCAATCGCTTCCCGCTTCCGGCTCCCTTGGGTGAGGAGCACACCTACCTGCCCATGTTGCCCAACTCCTTCCGCTGGGCCCTCGAGAGCCCGGCCCCGTTCCTCATGGGGGTCTGCGGCAAGCTGGCGCCCTCCGAGCTGCCGGCGGAGGCGGTTGGGTTGGGGCGGTTTGGGCTTCTTGCGTTTTTTGGCGCGGCGGGCTTGGGGTCGGGAAAATGGGGTGGGGTGGGGTGGGGCCTTGTCCGGTTCTTTTTGGTGGGTGTGGGGGCTTTGGGTTGGAGCAGAAGAGCTCCTTTTTTGAAAGGTACAGAAGAGGATGGTGTGTGTGTGTGTGTTTTGGGGGTGTTTGGGCTTTGGACAGGCTTGCCCCCGAGTTTTGGAAGGTTTGGGGGAGGATCTCGGGTACTTCCTGGAGACTTGCGGCTTGCCGGCTCGGTTGCTTGGGTGTTTCTTGGGGTAAAGGTCAGGCAATACAAGATGCAGAAGTGATGGGAGAATCGCTTGGGTCGGGTCCTGATGAAGCTGCTGGGGCGCGCTCAGAAGTTTGCCCGAACGTATTAGATTGGCCAGGTGAGATGGAGGTGAGGGGTGAGGCAGATGTGAAGTGATTTCAAGGGAGGCACTCTGAGAGAATTGAATGGAGAGGAGGCCTTCATTCACCTGTGTCCATGCGGAAAAGAGATGTTCTCCGGACCCGTTTCCAAGGTTTCACTAGCATGCAAGGGATGCCGTTCCCGGCTGCACATTGAGATCCCGTGACGGGCCGTTTGCCCAAGACCACTCCGGGAGCGAGGACGGAATTCTGGCAATGCGCGGCCAGCCTGTTGCCCATCGACGAATCGATTGGAAACCCAGGATTCACAAAAGCCCTTGATTCACAGTTCCATGACTGGCTCTCGACTTGTGGAGGACGCCTCTGATTTAAGTAACCCGGGGTGTCATGAATTCTTAAGAGAAAGTCGAGAGGAGATCCAAAGCATTGGAGGTCCAAAGGTTCTCCGAGCTGTCAAGCATTCCGTGGGAGCACTACTGATATTGATGTTGATCATGATATTACTATCAACAATAATAGAGATAGTGGTAATTGCAAAAACGATAGATAGATAAAACAGATAGACCGATAGATATCACAAAATAAGTAAAGACAAAAATAAAGAACAAAAGAAAGCCCGGTAGATCAATCAATCAATCAATCAATCAATCAATCAATCAATCAATCAATCAATCAATCAATCAATCAATCAATCAATCAATCAATCAATCAATCAATCAATCAATCAATCAAACAAGGATAAGACGATAAGGAGCTACATGAAGCAAACACATAAGCAAGTAGACGGGAAATAGAGAACTATATAACTAACTAAATACATCAACTACTCACTAAATAAACATATGAATAGAACAATCTCCACAAAGTACATACGTAAGCAATATACAAGCTATAAATAGACATATATATATATATAGAGATAGATAGATTAGCTAGACAGATAGATAGGTAGGTACGTAGGTAGGCAGATAGATAGACAAGTTGCCATGTGCCAGGAATGCGCGCAGGCGTGCGACGGAGTGCGTGCGCGGGTCTGTGTATCAATACCCGCTAAGAAACAAACAAAAAACACAACAAAACAAACAACGGTTAGCGCGTTTTTGTGAGGTGGGCTTGCCCCGGAGCTGGCCGGACCACCCATGTGGCCCGCAAAGCCGCAATGGATAGGTAAATGCATGAATGCATGAATGCATGGTTAAATTAATATATTCTTGAATAGTGATTTGATCAACTAAATAATGACTGTACTGTATATATGTATATGTAGACATGCATCTGTATATATGTAAAGGCCTACCCGCTCGGGGATCGCTAGGCTAAGGAGAAGCAGGCGGCGGGTGTTGGGCCGCAGGTGGTGGTCTTCGACCTGGACAGCGGCAAGACCATCCCGGAGAAGCCGCAGGTGCGGGACGGGTCAAAGTTAAACGAGCGCACCCAAATGGGTACGGGTCAAAGTTAAACCAGGAATTGGACCACAGGTTTTAGTCATTTCCATTTGCCAGGGTGCCGTCTTTTGGTACCTATTTTTGACCAGCCCAATTGCTTAGAGGCGCCTTCCTTTGACGAGTCACCTTCTTCAAACAAAGCCAAAAGGCGTTCATAGTGCCTCAGAGGCTCGAAATTTCCTTCTGCGCCCTTTTGGTTGCTCCATTTTCTCTGACTAGCGAGTCTGACCTATCGTGGAACTCGAAGATCAGTCGGCTTGAAGCCTGTTTTGGTGCCAGCTTGAGCCTTGAAGTTTTGATGTGTCTTGTTGTTTTAGCTGACGGTTTGGCTGATATTTTTGTTTTTGAACCGTGCATTTATAGTTCTGTTTTTGGGGGGATGCAACACGTTTGCATTATTATAGTTCCTGAAGCCGGGGGTTAGTGGAATAAGAAACAACTTTGGTTTCGTCTAGTACGCTTGGCTCGCGGACCAGCTTAGGAGTTTTCCTTTGGTGGATCTCCTCTTTGGGTTCCATGTCAATTTACCGGGGATAGGCTTGAACACTTGATTTATAAAACTTTGCAGCCTTCGAACAGGCGGCGCGGGCGCGATGCTATGTTTTCTTCCCAACATTAGTTCGGAGTCAAGTTTGCATCTTGGACATGGCCAGTTTATGCCTTTCAGCTGGAAAGCACATTGAGTGCGCGGGAACAGGTGGCGTGGACAAAAGACTTAGTCGCGCGCACACGCATTTCGTGGCACCTGTGCGCCACCTGTTTGCTGCTCCCAACGCAATTCACTTCCAATGTCTGCCGAAGTGGCTTTGCGGGGGGCCAACCGAAACGAATCTGCTGTGCATCCATAGGAATGGCCATGAACACAACAAGGTTACCGGCTACCGCCTGTGCTGGCTTTTGAAAACCCTGCGCGGGCTTGGATTTGCTGTGCTGATTCATCCACGAAGTGTGCAGAGCGTGTTGCGCAAGGGCCGCGTTGCCCTCGCCACGTTGCCCTTGCCGCGACGGATGATTTCCCATTTGCTTCCGTCTTTGTTTTGCGGGTACCCAAACCACCACCATTTCGGGTCAGGCCATTTTTTTCGGGGTGCCCCCTGTGTTTGCAGGCTTCGGGAAACCGAACGGCGCCGTTGCGCCGTGGCGCCCCTTGTTTTGTGGCTTTCAAAGGACTCCGAACGGAACCCCCCCCCCCCCGCCGCGCCGAGCGCCGCGAGGTCACGGTGCCCAGCATCATCGAGCAGCCGGTGGCCCGGCTGGCGCCGACGCACAAGTGGGAGCAGCGCAGCGCCAACCAGGAGACCGGAGACTGGAAACGAGTGGCGCCGTGGGGCCCGGAGGTTTTGGGGAGGTTTTGGGGACGAGGTGAGAGACACCTTTTGGAGCACCAGAGAAACGATGCCGTGTTCCCAGCGCGCAGATTTGGATTCGTCGAGAGAGAGCATTTGGAGCGCCAGAAAAGGACCAACTTCTCGTGTGATGCATAGCGCAAAGCGTGAACAGCATTTTGGTTAAGTTCGATTTTGGTCTGTACGCAGATGCATGTTTTGGACCCAAAGTGGTACTTTTGCCCTTAAAGTGTATGTCACTTCCAGGCCTTGATGGTCTTTTGAACATGGGGAGAAGCAAACATGAATGTTTTGCTAACATGCTACGCCCCCCCCACAAGACAATGCAGAGTCCAACAGTGGCTAGAATCCAAAGTTGGGACGTCCAACATTTTGCCGAGAGACTTCCAACATTTCGCCGCCAGAAACAACGGTGGCACAAGTCCATGCCCCGCTTTTCTGTTCAGAAGGCGGCCTGCTCACCGCTGACCGTGGGGGATTTTGTGAAAGCATCCCGCTGATCGGGGCAGGGGATTCAATCCTTGAGCTTGACCCGACTGGGTACGATTGCCAAAGTCTTCGCACGAGACTCTTTTGGATCCCTTACGAGCGGACTGGTTGCCTGGCCATTGAGGTGATAAGCATGCCCATCTCAAGAGCATGCCCTGCCAGCATGAGGGAATTGTGCCATGAACTACCATCTACTTTCTTTTTCTTTCTCTTTCTTTCTTTCTTTCTTTCTTTCTTTCTTTCTTTCCGGCTTCTGGGTCGATCCAGAACCCGGGTAGATGAAGGTTAGTAAGGGGCAGTCCCAGCCAGAAATAGGTGCGGCCGCCTTCTTAGTTCTTGAAGCATGGTTCTGGGCTTGGACCATTTTTGTACCGGGTTTTGAGTGTGACTTAGGTAGCCTTTGAAACCCCATGACCTTCTCTCTTTGGAGTCTGAAAAATTAGGGACCAATTCCTCCAGGTGGGTGGTTTATGTTGTGGCTCAAGCGTTTTTGCTGCGCTCGGGTGAGGAGTACTGGGCCAAGTACCAGGCCGTTAGCTTGTCCTCCAGCCGGCCACGCACGAGCTCGGCAGATGCCGAGGCCGCGCAGGGTCAGGAAATGGACCCA